AAGAAGGACTACGAATACAAATCTCCTCCACCTCCAGTTATGAACCCATCACCGCCCCATTACATCTATGCATCACCTCCACCGCCTCCCTACCACTATTAGATCTATATGCCTTCTATTACTACATGAAGGTATGTTTCTTATAAATGTAATTCTCATTCTAATTTGGTTAAGATATAATCTTTTGTGTCAAATAACGTTTAAGAAAATCACACATTATTATAGTGATATATTCACCGATTCTCTTATTGTTTCTCGCAGGAACATGAGGAAATATTCATATCAATAAAGGGACAGCCTATTGAAGATGATCACTACACACAAAGCAGGGCCTCCACCTCTAGTTATTCATGTCATGTAATCCATGTTTATTTAAAGATTTAGTTTTCTGTATTGTGTATTCATATACATTCAACATTATTATTGAAGAGTTCAAATTTTTATTGTCGTCCAAAAGGTTCCAAAGCTTTAGTCAATAACTTCCAATGTTTACTAATCTTTGCAAACTAACATTAGTAATGCAACATGAAGGAAGAAACTTATGAAACTGTGTTAAACTTCATGCATTTCAAATTTTAAACATAAGTAACTTCACATCATCTGTCTAAATAAGATGGTGAGAAATAAAAATTTACTTTGAACAACTCAATTTCAAGTTTATTATAAAGAAAGCTTTAAAAAATAGATCAAATATATTTAATTGAATGCTCCACCATGATATCATGGGGGAGCTATTAAATTTCTGAGGGATGTAGATTTCAACTTTTTATATCAGTAATCTTCCAATTTTTTTTTTTTTAAATAGGTGGTTAAATTATAGACAAAACTTTAGCATCTCAAAGTTTTAATATAATTTCTTAACTTTTCTTCCTTCCTTTTTTTTTTCTTCTGATGATGATACAAAGCTCCTTATATTTAATAGCATTTAATTTGTAAGCTTTAGTTGAACATCTTTTAGACAAGTTGTCCTTTGTTGTACTTTGTCTTTAGGTTGCAGCTAAAATATTTTGATAACTAAAAAATTTTATTTATGTAAAATATATTAAAAAAAAAAATTTCTTTCCACACTCACACCCATCAATCATACTGTCAGAAAAGATTGACATGCATTTATAGGTGTTAGTTTTATCATAGTATCAGAGAAAAATCAAATAATTATCAGCAGCTTGTTAGCTTGCCTTATATATATATACAGTTAATACAATTATTTGGGTTATAAATGTTGGGATTTGGATACCAAATAAAATAAAATAAAAAAGGAGTGAAAGCCGAAACAAAATAATGGGCCACGAGCCCAATTTAAGTTTTGCACTATTTTTTTTTAAGATATATGTGTGGCCGTGGATTGTACAACAGCCATGAGAGGGATTGTACAGCAGCTATTTTTGGAGGTTTTGGCAATAATTTTGTGGCGACGGCTCAGGTTTTGGCAGCAGGAAGGTCAGATCGAGATCAGTATTTTTGATAATTTAGATCTTGATTATTCTGGAAGTTTTTCATTCGTGTACCTAAGTATATTGTGTTAATGTAGCAGAAATTGCTTACCGCAAGTGTACATGTCAAGTTTTAATATGGATGGTAGGTGAATAACGATATCGTCCTCTAGATTGGGTTTTTAGCTCACTCAAGTAACACAAATACAATCACTCAATTTTATTTAGAGAATCAAAATCAAATGGGAGAATATAATCAAAGAAAATAAACATGCAATAATAAAGATAAAAACAATGGAGAGAAAGGTCTTAGGGAATTGATTTAACCTATTGAATCTATGAACCAACTACTTAATTATTCAAGATTGAACGAATTATTATCTCTATAGGCCAAGAACTCTCAAATCTGAACTACCTCTCCCGAGCGCAAGCTAATTCTCCTTACAAATTAAGAAACCAATATCCCTATCTAGTTTCTATAACAAGTAAAGACTTTATTGATCAAGTCTTCTAACGACCTCTAAAGGACTTCTAAATCTCCCGATCTTAAAACCTCTTTAGTTATGCATCCCAGTTCTAACGCTAAACCACCTCTCCCGAGCGTAAGATTTCAAGTCTAAAATCAATCAATCTATGGCCAGTAGATTCAAGGTTTAAGCATAGAGAAATATAAATAGAATATTCATAAACATTCAATATGCATAAAGTTTAATTGCTATATCAATCCCTAAGATAAGAAGTTTAGCTTCTCATATTCAATGTAAAACAATAAAATCACAATGAGAAGTTCATAACAAAACTAGAAAAATCAAGGGAAAGGAGAAGAAACTATGTTCGGCGTGTCAATCGTCCATCCTCGAAGCGACCTCCACGATCCCGAGCCTTGAAAATCACTTTTCTAAGCTCTCCAATGGTCTCCTTGCCCTCCAAATTGGCCAAAAAGGCAAACTGCCAAAAAACCTCTCCTAAACTCTTCTATCTCGGCGGCTACACAACCCTTTTTTTATAAAAAGTTGTCGCAGCAGCGCCATGACGCTATATACAGAGCTATAACGCTACACTATTCACAAAATGCGAAATTTAAACTTCGGAGCGTCGTGTCGCTATCTTCCCGGGTTTTTGGCTTCAATCTTGTTATTATTCCATTTTGGTCACTTTGATTCCGATTTTTCTCTCATTTTGATCCAAATATGTCTCGTTTACCCCCGATACTTTATTTCGGCAAAATATATCTTATGTGCTTAAAGTTGTCATGAAGAAACAAAAACGAACAAATAATTTCAATACGAATCTGATGAAATGTAGCTCACAAAGTGTGCTATCAGTTAAATGCTTAAAAGCTAGAGACTTTTTGTTGAGACCTCTAGAGAGTGAATATCTGGGGAAGATATTTGACTGCTTTGTATTCAATCTCATATTATAGTGGAACCCGCATTTGAGGGGAAGACTGGACGTAGCCCATAAATTGTTGGGGTAAACCAGTATAAATTATTGTGTCGGTTATTGCTTTCATTAAATTCTCTTATTTGTGTTGTGTGATTGTGATTTACTGGATATAACTGTAGAAGGGGAAATTGTTTTGGAGCACATTAATTTCCCAAAAAGTAATATCAGAGCCAAGTTGCAGTATCATGGGATCCAATCAGAAGTCACATCACTACTTCGAGGGGGTGTTGAGATTTAATGGGGAGAATTATGGGTTTTCGAAGATGAAAGTGACAGATCTTCTTACATACAAGAAGATACACAAGATCCTGAAAGAACGACCAGTCACTAGATGACAGATAAATAGTGGGTAGAGATGGATGAACAAGCAGTACCAATCATCAGGCTGTGTTTGACGATGAATGTGGCAAGTCTGTGACGAGCAAGAAAACAGCAATGAGGTTGATGAAGGCTTTGACTGACAGGTATGAAAAACCTTTTGCCAATAGTAAGGTATATCTCATTACGAGGTACTTCAATATCCATATGGAGGAGGATACCTTAGTGAACTCCTACATAAATGAGATCAATGATTTGATGAACAAGTTGAAGTCTATAGAGCTAACTTTTTCAGAGGAGGTGAAGGCTGTAAAACTGCTGTCCTCTTTGCCTGACAATTGGAAGACGATGAAGACAACAGTGTCAAATTTGTTGGGGGATAAGAGTCTGAAATTTCAGATATCTATGACGCTGACAATTGCTGAATAATTTCGTAGAAAAGGGAGTGAGAAGAATTATGCATCCACATTCGGAGGGGAGAACAGTTTTGAATCAGCATTAGTAGCTCAGAGTAAGGGGCAAAGGGAAGATGAACTACAAGGGAAAACAACAGTATAGTAGCCAAAGGAGTGGGAGCAGCAGTGGAGATGTGAAGTGTTTTTACTACCACAAGAAGAGACACATTAAGAGGTTTTGCAAGAAGCTTAAGGAGGATCAACAGTAGGGGATTCCACTAATGTTGTAGAAGAAAGAATAGAAGAGTTTCTAGCTTGTGATGATAGCAACTTAGTAGATCGACCATCAGAGTGGGTTGTGGACACAGCAGCATCAACACATGTATCTTTAGACAGAAATTGGTTCACATCTTTTACTAGTCGGCATGGCGAGGTAAGAATGGACAATAAGAGAGTTTTCAAGGTCAGAGGAATTGGGATGTCTATTTGAAGACCGATGGGGAAAAAAGTTGGTTTTGTGAGTTGTCAAGTATGTTCTAGGTTTTAGAAAGAATTTGTTATCTGCTGGAAAACTGGATGACGATGGTTTCAAGAGTGAGTTCGCAGAGGGTAGCTGGAAACTTCTGAGGGGATTTGAGGTAGTGACAGTGGGCCACAAGGAAGCTTCAGTTTATGTGTCTAGATTTGAGGTTGCAAGGGGATCTGAGAGACAAAGGATGTATAGAGCTACAGATGGTTCATGGTGAGACTTGAAAGAATCAGCAGCAATAACAACTAGGATAGAAGAAAAAAATATGTCATCAGTTCAAGTACAACAGGGACCACTTAGATCGAGTGGAAGCACGTGACTGTGTCTCTAACGTCTGGGAGAAAAAAACATGTAAAATTACTAAGTCTTGGAGAAATCACAAATAGAGTCTTGGTTGGTGCCAAGAATATGTTAGAAGTTATCGATGTAGTGGGAGTAAAGCCTTTTGATCGGTGCCAAAAAGATGTTGATCAGTTAGAAACTATTGGTGCAGTCAGAACTAAAACACGAGGGACATTGTCGTACATCAGTCGTGAGAGGGATTGTACAGCAGCTGTTTTGGGAGGTTTTGGCAGCAATTTTGTAGTAATGGCTCGGGTTTTGGCAGTGCAGAAAGGTCAGAGTATTTTGGGATAATTTAGATCTTGATTATTCTGTGAGTTTTTCATTCCTATAGCTAAGTATATTGTATTAAATACTTAGAAGCTAGGGGCTTTTTATTGGGACATTTATAGGGTGAATATCTGAGGGAGATATTTGACTGCTTTGCATCCAATCTCATATTATAGTGGAACCCGCATCTAAGCAGAATACTGACTGTACATAGCCCATAAACTGTTGGGATGAACCAGTATAAATTTTTTTGTCGTTTATTGCTTTCCCTATAATCTCTTATTTGTGTTGTGTGATTGTGAGTTACTAGATATAATAATAGTGGAAAGGGAAATTGATTTGGAGCGCGTTAATTTCCCAACAATAAATGTATTGAGGATCATTTAAAAGGCTTCATGTCGTTCTTATTTATTAGTAATAAAAGTTATTTCTATTACTGAAAAAAATGTTTTTAAAACATTTTTTCTATAAGTAGTTTTGGAAAGTAATTTAAAGTGTGTTTAGTATAGTTTTCTAAGTAATTTTAGAGGATTAGAAGTACTTTTCTAAAAATCTATTGTATTGGTAAAAATGTGAGATTGCTTTAAAAACCTTTTTGAGAAATATTTGAAAGAGGATCATCCAAAAAGTGACTTGAAAGTGATTGACACTTGTTTAATCAAAAAATTGATCAAGTCAGTAGCGAAGCTCAAACTAGCTTACCTATGAGCGGA